AACCTCTTTCTGCTATTCTCTGCTCAGCTAAGAGCCGTCTGATAACAGAAATTATATCTGTCATACCATAGCCTATTTTGAACCGAGCTGGAATTTCTATCAGCTCTCTGTGCTATTTTCAATCATCTGTAACATTATTTTACTTGAGTATGCTATTGCTTGTTTCATTCGTTAATTTCCACATCCTGTTGGATCACGTTTCTTTGGAATGTGAACGAAAATGAATCTCTTGCAGTCCATTGCCCAGGTAGCACCTTCCAAATTTCTTTGCATGGGCTAGTGAACACGTCCACAGCTGCACCTATTTGTTACATATGCCGGTTGGTGTTCCATCAATTCTTGGACCTTATTTTTGCCAATGCCTTTAGTGCAGCTAGAAATTTCTTCATTACTATTCATACGCGACTTGCTAAAACATTTTAGTGCTAATTCTTTTAGGTACAGTGACTCCATATATTCTTTCCATCTTCTTTTGATGCTGCTTACATCATTCAAAATTTTGTCCAGTGGTGCACCTCGACATTTGAATTTGGTTTTCATTTCTTCCAACTTGAAATGCTGAGCGTGTTCTTCTATTTTGGGTTTTTTATCTCCAACTCCTTGTACATGTCATTACAATCCTTTGCTTTCTCTTCTTGAGCTGCCTTTTGAAATCTTCTTCTCTTTTCTTTTATTTCAGCATTTTGTACTTTTGTCTTGGCCTGTCTACATTTTAGTGCAATTCTCAGAGTCTCTTCTGACACCTATTTTGGTCTTTTCTTTCCTCTGTTTTTGTAATGACTTTTTGCTTTCTTCATGGGTGATATCCTTGATGTCACCTCATAACTCACCAGGTCTTCAATTATTAGTGTTCAACGCATCCAATCTATTCTTGAGATGATTGCGAATTCAGGTAGGAGAGACTCAAGGTCAGTTTTTGGTTCTTGTGGATAGACTTTATTTCCTTCAACATCTATTTGAACTTGCACATGATTAATTTATTATCTGTTCCACAGTAAGCCTCTCACCTTGCTTTGACTGCAGGTACTGAGTTTCTCCATCAACTCTTTCCACAGATGGGCTCCTGTGTAGTCCATCAGCTGCTGCTACTAATATGTGTATAGTCACCATTTTTTTTAGTTTATCTGTTTGTTTAAAAGGGGAGTTCAATGCATAAATCATTAAGAATATAAAATTCCTTTGATCTCCATTCTCATATCTGTCCCCAACTCTGTATTTTCCAATTGCTAAACCAACAACAACAACAAACCTTTTTTGTGTCCAACTTTTGCATTCCAGTACCAATTATTATAAGTGCATCTTGATTGCATGTTAGGTTAATTTCAGACTGCTCAAGTTTGTAGAAATCCTCGATTGCTTCATGTTTCTTAATGGTTGTTTAATATATTTGAATAGTAGTTGTATTAAATGACCAAAAATGACAGAATAATTGATCCCTTTGAGTTGTGGTGCTAAAGAAGAGTGTTGAACATACCACGGACTGGCAAGAGAACAAACAGGTCTGTCCTGGAGAGGGTGAAGCCAAGCTGTTCCTAGAAGGCAAAGATTCTGAAGCTCTGTCTCACATTCTTTGTGTATGTTGCCAGGAGGGACCAGTCCTTGGAGAAAAACTTCATGCTTGAAAGGGTGGAGGCAGCACAAGAGAGGAAGACCCTGGAGGAGATGGATTGACACAGTAACCGGAGTAATGAATGTAGGTATATCAGAGGCAGTGAGATTGGCTCAGCACAGAGCAGGGTTAAGAGGTATTATACATAAGGTAGCTGTGAATCAGAGTTGACTTGACAGTGTAACAACAACAGACATAACAACAGACTGACAGATGAAACAACAACATGTATTTAGTATCTTATCACTCACAGCATTACTCCATGGTAGACCCTGAAGTGTTCTTTTTTAACTATGGATGATGCAACATCCTTAAGTTGTCATTCCATACATAATAGATCATCTGACTGGCTCATTGAAATTGACCAATACTCATCCATCTCAACTCACTAATGCATAGAATGTGGATTGTTATGCATTCCATTTCATTTTTTTACAACCTCCAATTTTCCTAGATTCAGACTTCATACATTTCAACTTGCAATTAATGGATGTTACAGTTATTTCTACCCATTTTGTAATGTCTTCCAATCAAAGAGGCTCTTCTTCCAGTACTATATTTAACAATATGCCTCTGTTATTCATAGGGTTTTAGAAAGCCTATTATTTCAAGGTGGATGACCAGTCCCACTTCTTTGTCTGCCTTAGTCTGGTAGCTCTATTGAAATCTATCCACCATAAGTGACCCTACTAGTATTTGGAAGACTAGTGGAATAGCTTCCAGCATCACAACAAATTGTAAGTCATCCCAGTACGGCAAACTGACAGACAAGTGCCGTACATATAACCACAAACTATAAACAAGCATATACATACACAGACTATAAACACTCTATGCATACACAAACTATAAAATATGCAACAATGCACAAGTCACCAAGCCCCTCTACTTCAGCAAATTAGCAGATAAGTGCTGTGCCCATATGACACCATATAACTGGCATGAATTTATGTGGCCAGTAGCCACTGCCAGATCCAGCCGCCATATTTGGAGGAGTCATTGGATGATCACACTTAGCCTGCTACAACAGTTGCTCTGGTATCAAGTGGATATGGGTCTAATGACCTCTAGATCAGCAACTCATACCAGAGAAGAAAGATCAGGGCTGTGGGCTATGTAAACATACACATCCATTCACCTTGAAGACACCAAGCTTGATGTGGAACTGCCAATGAAAGGATTCCCCTCCGTTAGGCTCTTTCCTACTTCCTGCCTCTGGATGTACATCCTTGACTCATGACAGCACGGCCATTAAACTGCTTTGACCAGGATTACTGGGAGCTGAGCATAGGCATCCCTCCACCTCAGCTAGTCAGCCTCTGGCTTTTCAGATAGCGTTCAGTGGAGAGCTGTAGAAAGACTGATTGGAGACCAACTTCACCAGTATTTGAGATGCTGACTGTTGGCTTTTCTGCAGTAAATCTAGAGTCCGTAACATGTAAATACACAAAGGGGGGAGCATATCAGCTCCCACAGCCTGTGTTTGTTAAGACCATCAGATGACATTCTCGCATGCCTCTATGTTTCTTGAGCACTTACTCTGTACTTTCCTCTATGACTGAGAATGTGGAAGGAAGTAGGTTAAAAAGACTCAGAAAGGGATCAAAAAGGAAGGGAGGCATCAAATGAAAGTTTTGCTGACCAACACTGTCCTGTACTCCAGCTAGAACTCAGCCTGAGCCCAGAAAACATCACCACAATCTTCAGGTCTCAGAGTGTGACTCTTAGCAAGTTCTGCATCCCCTTCTCCTCAAAAAAATTGCTATTGACTTTGAGTTCTACTCAAGACAACCCCATGTGTTATAAGTTAGAACTGTACTTAAAAGGTTATCAGAGCTGTGGCCTTTCAGAAGCAGATCACTAGACCTTCTAAGGCAACCTGGGTAGATTTGAACCATCAAGACTTTCAATGAGTAGACAAGAGCTTAACCATATTCACTACTCAGAGGCTCTTATATAAAGTCCCTTCTAGTAGTATATATTCTTTCTTTCAAGTGTCACTATAAATTAGCAGCACTCACTCCCAAGTCTACCTGGAATGTATCCTATTTGACTCAGTCATAACAATCCGTGAAGTTAGGAAGACAGTCCTTTATTTGGGAAATATTGCTGTCAGGGATCTTTCTAGAGTACTGAAGAGCAATGATGTCTGTGTGGAAATTAAGGTGCACCCAATATAGGCCATGGTCTTCATAATTATTTATTCTGCATCAGAGAGCTGGTCAATAACTAAAGATTATAGAAGGAGGATCGATGTCTTTGAGTTGTGGTGCTGAAGAAGAGTGTTGACCATACTGTAGACTGCCAGAAGAACAAACAGGTCTGTCCTGGAGAGGGTGAAACCAAGTTGCTCCCTGGATGCTTGGATTTTGAAGCTTTGTCTAACATACTGTGAGCATGTGGTCAGGAGGGATCAGTCCTTAGAGAAGGACATCATGCTTGGAAGGGTGGAGGGACAGTGCAGGAGAGGAAGACCCAAGATGAGATGGATTGATTCAGTACTGGAGAAATGGGTTTAGGTCTGCTGGAGATGGTGAGATTGATTGGCTCGGGATGGGGCAAAGTTCAGAGCTAATGTACACAGGATTGCTATGAATCACAGGTGACTCGATGGCACACAACAACAACTACATGAGGGTTATTACCGCCTCAAGGGAGAATGCAGTGGGAGTCTCTGAGAGGAGGGAGTACAGAAATTGGAATGTCTTTGGTGAAATAATTGCACAGCAACATTTCAGGATAGTTTAATTTCCTACTATGTTTTAATGACCAATAAAGAAGACATAAAAATGTCATTTACAGAGAAACTCCAGTGTTTTGTTTTCCTGGTTATTATAATCAAATAAAGCATATAATACAGTTTTTTAAAAAAAATACATGTAATAGATATACATATGGACGAACACTGTAATTTATCCTTCAAGCTATATAGATTTATGTAGTTACTACTTGGCATAAAGGCATAATAGAAGCAACTGGGAGTTAAGGCAAAGGAAACTGCTCTTTTCCTGTCTCATAGGCAAAGAAGCCTTTACAAGTCCTAATCTTCAGCATTTTCCCATTCTGTTTTAAAAACACTTAGCTGGCATTGATAGGGACACATGAGACTCGTGGGGATTTAGGAAGTGATGGACACAGTTCTTTTTTAATCCATTTGCGTTATCTGCCCCTGTTCACCACCCATAGCCAACAACAAGCCTGCCAATTAGTGAGGTGGTAAAGACCAGGCAGGGTGTGGAAAATCCTCTCAGCCCCAGCCTTGCCTCCACTGGGTGGGCAGGAGGGCAGGTCAAGGCTGCCTGCTGAAATGATAGCCTCTTCCTAAAGATTCAAGCTAATCAAACATAGCCTCCTCTTCTGAAGCTATGCGATCCCGCCCCTACAGGGGCTGTTACAACCGGACTTTGTTTTCTGCTGCCAGTAACATTGCAAACACGGAATCTGGATTCTCAGCGAGAACTTCCGGCTTGTCAAACTCGGCCACCTGAAAGTCAGAGAAGAGCTGGAGTTGGTATTCACACACCATCGCCACGCCCCCATCAGATGAAGCCTGCCACGGGGGGAAACCAACACATCATCCTTCACCTTCCCGCTTTCCATAACCAGAACTCGGTCGCAGTTAAGAACTGTGTTTAAGCGGTGGGCAATGGTCAGCACTGTGCAGCCTCTGAAAGCTTCTTTGATGGTGTTCTGGACAAGGGTGTCAGTCTTGGAGTCCATGGAGGCAGTGGCTTCATCCAGGAGGATGATCTGTTGGGAAAGGAATGTCGCGGATGTCATATCAAGCCAGGTCTATTCTAATCTTATGAGCTGGTAGGAAGAAAGAAAATCTACTGGCTTTATCCACTTCATTAAGACAGAGTAATGAGAACGGCAGAAGGTATCAAAATATGGTGTCAGCTTCTTTTTACTACTGTAATAAATGATCACTAGCTTAGTGGTTTAAAACAACAAAGAACCACAGTGAAACCTATGAGGTCTGGAACTGCTTTATTTTCCCAGATCTCACACATTGTACTCCTTTGACAAGGGTGTATGCAATCTTACCATTTCTCTATTGCTATCTAATAGTATTGGTAAGTAATTTTCTTTTCCTGCTCTCACAGGTTCCCACGTTCCCGGTTGTCGGCTTTCACAGGTTCTACTGCATTATCTTACAGTTTGGGAGGGTCAATAATAATAATGGGTCTAATTAGGAAAAAGTCAAGGAGTCAGGAGAGCTGGGTTCCTTCTGGAGGCTCTAGGGGAAAATCTATTTCCTTTCTAGTTTGTAGTGGTTGCCTGTATCTGTTGAGTCATATCACATTTGCAAAGTTCCTTTTGGCCTGTAATATGTCATATTCGTAACTTTCCAAGGATTTGAATGTGAATTTTTTTTGGGAAACCATTTATTCTGCCTGCCTACCACAGAGCTGGTTTGTAAATCAGAGGACGAGTTTGGCCCCAAACTCTGTTTGACTGTGTTACTTACTGTCCCCAAGGCTCTTGTTTTCTTCTGTGTAATAGAGGGCATGTGCCTCGTTATAAGCATAAGATGTGGAAAACAACTCATAACCCATTTAGCAGTGTGTGGAGACACAGCAGGCATTTAAATACATGCTGTTTGCCTTGCCTCTGTCATTACCAGGACGATCAAACACACGACGGGCTACAAGTTTGATGAGGATTTGGAGGCTAAGGCTTCTAAAGCAACATTAAATGCTTCCCTAAAACCAGCAAGCAAGGATGGCTGGCTAAATTGCTAAGGCAAACACGTACACATTTCATAGTTCTCGTATTCCGACATCCCGATGGCCTTCTTCAGTGTCCTGGGTACTGTTTATCAGGCCTTGAGATTGGTCAGGGACAAAGGTGAAAAGTTGAGAGGCAGGTTTTTCTAACTCGAACCACTTAAGAGGACAGATAGAATACCTAAGCAAGATCTCCCTGCAGGAGCCCCAAGGAGGAAGGTGCTATTGCTGTAAATGGCTGTTATTTTTCAATTTTCACCCTTCACAACTTTGTCTTAAGAAAAAGTGATCGGTTTTTAAATGGCCCAATTGCTGCCACTTTGCTGAGAGATAAACTCATGGTTCTATCTCCTGGATGGAGTGGCGCTGCGGGAAATATCCAAAATTTGACCAATCCATTTTCTGTGCTGGTTCCTTACTTTTGAATTACGGAGAAGAGCCCGAGCCATACAAAGCAGCTGACGTTCCCCTACTGAGAAGTTTTCTCCATTTTCTGTGACTTCTGCCTGTAATTTTTCAGGGAGTTTCATTATCTGTGAAACACACAAAATGCCACATTGATGCCGATGATCTATAAAATTGCCTTGCATTGCCTATATTGATTGTCCCCTTCCCTAGCATTTATCAAGTTGCTTTATTTTACTGAGGAAAAGAAAATGCAAAACAACGATCATTTCAGTATTGCAAACAGGCACCAGGGGAAGACCAGGGAGTAGGCGGACGGTAATAATTTAAAATCACAGTATGAGTCATAGACCCCTGTAGACACTCCATCAAAGAGTACAAATCATGCACAAATCAAGCACATAGGGCTCCAGAGGACACACAAACAAGCGTAAGTGGCTTTTAGGGTTCCTACGTCCACAGACAAAAGAGTGATGAGATGAGAGAGTTTCTGGTCGCCGTGGAAGAATAAGACTTGACAGTTGGACAAGTCAGAGTGCAAAGTGCAAAACAGCATCTGAAAGTTGCTCATCTTGAGGTCGAGTTTTGAGCAAATGCTCCCCGGAGCCGAGAGGAGGAGCTCGGGTGGCCTACTCTGCAAGGGGTTCCCCTGCTATCTCACAGACCAGGGGCTCATTTCACAGATGGTTCAGTCCTCTGAAAACCATTATCTTGGCCTTTCGAGGAAGATGCCTCGCCTATCACCTTTCTGTGGCATCATATGGACAAACAAATGAGGCCATTGACAGAGGAGGAGGCCACTCCATCTGCTTCACAATGAAATGGGTTTGGATTCAAGTCTCTAATCATCTGTCATTCACTAGCCTGAACATGTTACTTACCTGCCAGAAGCCTTCATTTCTGTATCTTTAAAATTGGAGCCACAGGACCAACCTCCAAAGTTTGTAAGAAGGTTGACATAAAATGATTACCATAGAGATCTTGGCTGGATCACCTCAGAGGCCTAATCAAGGTTATCTATTACTGTTCTTCATAATGAAAACTAAAAGAGGATCATATCTACTGACCTACATTAATTTGACCTAGTACTTACAGTAAACCTGGTCAAATCTTGAGCCAGATGCTTATGGAATTAGGACCTGGGCATAGTTTCAAGCACTGGTTCTAGGAAGCTAACCTATCCTTAATAGCCCAGAAACTTACTGTGTCTTTCATGAATGTTCTCTCAAGAACCTGCCAGAGCATCTCGTCAGTGTGACTCTCAAAGGGATCCAAGTTGTACCTGGAGCGAGGGAAAGAAGAGGCTCTGAGAACAAGAGGTGAGGGGAAAACATTTTCTGCAGCATGTAGGGAGGAAGGAGACTTTTATGTATTGGTGCTATAGCTTCAAAAGCTGTGTCATCCCAGAACAACAACCCATTAAACACCAACTTGAACCCACAAGACTGAAGATCCACAAAGCCATGACCAAGCAGAGACCACCAGCACAGGCTGGGGCTTGTACAACACTGCTAAGATGTAGCACTGGGCTGGACCACCAGGAAAATGCATCTGGGTCTTCTCATTGCCATATGCAGTAGAAAAGATTTGTGGTGGTGGTGGTGTTAGCTGTTGTCAACCCCAACTATTGGTAATCCCATATGCAACAGGATAAAACCTTTGTGATCCATAGAGATTTTCATTGACTAGTTTTTTGGTTTTTTTTAAGTAGACCCTCAAGCCTTTCTTCTAGTCCATCTTAGTCTAGAAGTTCCCTGAAACCTGTTCAGCATCATATCAGCATGCAAGTTTCCACTGACAGAGAGTGGTGGCTGCACATGAGGTCCATGGGCGAGAAACAGAACCAGGTTTCTCTCACTGAAGGTGAGAATTCTACCACTTAAGTGTTAGAATTTAGAAAAAAAAATGGCTTTTCTATCCATTGCATTAGTCCATGCTAGGAGCATCGTCTCCAGCTGTACAACTGCAGGCACACGGCCTTACAAACCATCAACATCTGTTGGATTCATATAAAACACTTTCCACACTGTGAAGAGCGTGTGAAGAAACTGGAAAGACTGGGAAGAGATTGTGGCAAGGTGTAGCCTAACAGAACCCTGGAGATGAAACCAAAGTTAAAGGTTTTGCTTCTGGACAACTAAATAGAGACCTGGCTTGTAACTGCTGTGAGAAAAAGTTTCCTGGATGACTGAGGAAACCAGAGATTTATTTGTGTTGCTGAACTAAACCTAGACTTTCATTTGTTGACTGAAAAGCTGTCTAAACTAATCTGAGGAATTTTTTCTTACTGTGAGTCAGGTTTGGGGCTGCTGTTGACTAAACCTGGACTTTCACTATGAGATAGCTTTTGTTTTCCCAACCTCCAAACTATTTCCCTAATATACCCTATAACTCTGAGTAAAGTCTGAGAGTCAATTTACAGCAAACATTAGACACCATGGTTCATAGAAATATGAGCAAGAGCTTGAAGGTGGGGGTGGGGGAGCATATCTGAACATGTAGCTATTTGTTTGGTACTATGAATGTTACTGAAGGGGACAGTTCCCCTTTATGAAGTGGGTAGAAGTCAGACTCAGTCTTCCCTTTGTTACCACTTCTCCTTTTACAATCTTGTACAAATTCACCTCCTTTTGCTCTTTGCAGAGGCAAAGGAAGAGAAAGCAATTCATTCTGCTATTCCATTCACTTCGCCTTCAGAATGATCTTGTGAGATAAAAAAGGTACATATACAGTTCCCAGGGCCTTGAAAAGAGCAAGAATTCAGGCTGAGATTTTAGAATTTCAAGATGTGGGATGTATTTTTCATAAAGATTTCTAAGTAGAGTCCCCTTACATTGTCTGGTATTAAATGGGGGAAAAGTTCCTCACATTACAATTGCTGCCCTGAACCAAATGAAAAGCTCTAGACTAAGTCCAAGCTTGCATCTTCTCATGGGTGTTTTAATTTTGTTTGTTTTGCTTAATCTGAATATGTGGTTTTTCTCTTGAGGTTTGACCTTATATCTTGAACCCCTAGAAACTGTAACTCTACTGTTTCTGTAGTTCTTCACAGTTTCTGTTTACTTCTTAACCGGCTGCCGTTTCGAGTGAACTCTGACTTCATTCTTGGCAGCCCATGTGTGTCAGACTAGAACTATGCTTTATAGGGTTTTCAGGGGCTGATCTTTAGAAAGTAGATCACTAGGCTTTTGTGAGGTACCTCTGGGTGGACTGTAACCTCCAAATTTTTGGCTAGCACCCAAGTACATTATTTACATTATTTGGAAATGAATTAATATACTTTCTAGAAGATAGCTATATAAATAAGCTAACCTTTCATTTATTGTGCAAATATGGATATTTTTTAAATTGGCCATTGCAAAATCAGATATACTGGGACACAGGTAAACCAAGGCTCTCCTAGACAAACCAAGATATGTGGTCTTCACCCCATAAAAACATCTCACCTATCCTTTAGTAATAATGTCATTTCTAAGGAACTCTTATACATTCTTTGTGGGATTGTAAAATGGTACAACCATTCTGGAAAGCAGTCTGGCGCTTCCTCAAAAAGTTGAACATAGAAATTCCATATGATCCAGCTATTCCACTACCTGGAAAATATACCCTGAGAAAAAGAGGACTGAGGCACAAACTGAGATCTGTACACCAAGTTCATTGCAGCATTATACACCATCACAAAAAATGGAAACAGCCCAAATGTCCAACCATAAATGAATGGATTGAGAAATTATGATACATTCACACAATGGAATACTATGCAGCATACAGGAGCAATAACTTTGTATATTGTTACCTTACTTGGGAAGGACTGGATGGCATTATTCTGAGTGAACTAACTTAGTCCCACAAGGATAAATACTGTATCAAATCATTATTGTAGAATGAGTAGAAGGATCCAGGAGGGGAGGGAGAGTCTTGGAAGCAAAGGGATGCGGATGTGCAGGTGGGTGGGGTGGGAGGTGGCGGGGTGGTGATTAATCATTGAGTTGCACAATTTAACGGGTGGTGGGGTGAGGGAAATTGAAATAACTTGTCCAAATTTATATTAGAGTTTTGTAAATAAACCAATAGAAAGGGGGAAAGGAAAAAGAGACATGTAGGAAGATCTTGTGGACTAGTGGTATGAAGTTGCACTGCAATTCCAAAGGCATGCAGTTCAAATCCACCATTTCTTTTGTGGGAGAAAGATGGGCAATCTCCTCCCGTTTGATTAAATACCCCTGAAAACCTGCCAGAGGGTCACCTATGGGTCAGTTCCAACTTGATGCTATACAACAACAAAATACATGGAATGTCCAAGCCCCTGGTTTCCAGCTCCTCCAGGGGCTTCTCTCAGAAATGGGCGTCAGCACTTCTGGTGAGAATCTCAGATAGAACAACTCCAGGCTAGCCACGCCTCAGGGACTTGGCCAATCTTCTGGCCTGTCTGCTTTCATTATCCCAAAATAGGAATGCACAATGATCAAAAACAGCTACCTTACTGTACCTACAAACAGGACAGGATCCTGGGGAATCACAGTCAGCTTGGTTCTGAGGGCCTCCAAACTGATGGTGCAGATATCCACCTCATCAATGAAGATTGTGCCGCTGGCTGGCTCCACCAGACGAAACAAGGCCATTCCTAATGATGACTTTCCTGGGAACAATAAAAACAAAACAACAAATCAAAGCATCAGCTTGTGCTGCCATCATATCTAGACATTTAATTAAGAAAAAAATTAATGCCCTGAAAATGGCCCTGTGAGGCGGGCTATGCCTCTGTACTGGTGGAAATGGAAGCTCTAAAGCACTTAACCTGCCCACCACTGTGGGGACCACTGGCATTTCTACTTGTCCCGTGGGCCTCATTGAACAGAAATGTTTCTCATTTAATTAATTCAAAACTGATGTGTATTTGCTTCCAACACTACACATCCATTCAACCTGAAATCCTAATTTATAGCAAAGAGATTTAAGAGGAGGAGAGAGAAAATAGCCAGCCAATCTACCACACCATCACCCTCTGGTGAGACTTAACTAGTTCATCTACTAGACATTCTAAGGAAACAACCCAAAAGAAACAAAAGCAGAGCTTATCCTCACCGGAACCTGTTCTTCCAACAATCCCAACTGTCTGCCCACTCTGGATGTTCAGGTTCAACCCATCGAGAACAAGGGGAGTGTTGTCTCTGTATCTCATCTGATAGTCTTTGAATGTTATCTCCCCACGGCTGGGCCAGTCCTTGGGACAGGCCTCCGCTTCAGTGGGGTGAGGGCATTCAGGAGCACAGGTCTGAAAAGCAGAACAATGGAGAATGGAAAAACAGCCGTTCACTCTTCCTACTCATTTCATCCATTCAATCACTCACACAATTCTAGGCATAGAAGTTCACTGGTGAAAGTGACCTTTGAACCAAAGGCTAGAATGTAGAGAAAATATAAGCTATTTTGGGGGCAGAGTTTTCTAGGCAGAAGGAAGGAGCAGTTAATATAAAAGCCCCAAGGCCAAGCAAACTTGAGTGATTGGAAGAAGAAAAGAAAGTAGTATAGCTAGAGCTTTGAGAATAAAGGATGGATGAACAAGAGAGAGAAGGCAGGTCACAGTGGGCCTTGTGGACATGGGCAAATGTCAGTGATATGTGTCTGAAGTTGGAGGAAAACTCCAGACTGTGCCATTTTTCAAACACTGGAGGTTCAGTAGTAGAATCCTTGTCTTCCATTCAGGAGACCCAAGTTCAATTCCTGGCTAATGCATGTTAAGAGGTGTTGCCTTTTCTTTAAGAGGAGGCTTGCAAGTTGTTGATGTTGAACAGGTTTCACTGTAAGTTGGAGTTGAAATAAAAACAGCTTGGCAACCAATAAAAAACCTTATGGATCACAATAGTTCATTGTGTACGTGGTCCCCATGGTCAGGTCAAGTCAATGGCAACTAACAATAAAACCAACTAATGATATAAACCACATTGTTATATATTGTAATATAAATCTTGTTGCTGGAGTTGTGTGCCATCAAGTCAAAACCAACTCATAGCTGCTGACCCTTCAGCAGGTGTTCAGAGGCAGTAAATCACATGGGAGGAGACTGCCCATCCTTCTCCAGTGGAGCAGCTGGTGGATTTGCACTGCAAGCCCTTGGGTGAGCAGCACAACTTTTTACCACTAAACTACCAGAACTCCCTATCTTGTTCCTAGTAGTAGGAATTACTAAGAAAGTACTTCTCAGTATATTCTGAAAGTACTAAGCTGACAAGAATGTCAGGTGTCAAGAGCAAAAGTCTTTAGAGTCACATGGAAAAGCTATTTGAGTTTCCCCAGAATCTAATCAAGAAGTATACCAGCTTGAATAGGTTACAAGACCAAGTTACGAAGTCCTTGTTAGTAATAAGAAATAGGACCCCTATGTTCCTTGTCAGGGTGGCTCGGGTCAACAAGATTTGAAAAAATAGATGCAACCACTGTGGAAGGCAGTACGGCACTTTCTCAAAAAGTTGCAAATAGAGATACAATTTGACCCAGCAATTCCATGACTGGGAATATAACCCAAAGAGACCATACTGACATCCAAGCAGATATATGCACACCCATGTTTATTGTGACTTTGTTCACAATAGCAAGGAGTTGGAAACAACCCAAGTGCCCATCAACAAACGAATGGATAGAGAAGCTCTGGTATATTCACACAATGGAATACTACACTGCCTTGAAAAACAAGGAACTCGTGCAATATTACTCAAAATGGGTGACCCTGGAGGACAGTATGCTGAGTGAAGTATCTCAGTCACAAAAGGACAAATACTGCATGGTGCCACTGTTGTAAAACATGACTGACTTTGGGGTTGGGGGGAGACTGAGAAAGATGGGTTCAATAATGTATACTGCATTGAAACAGATGAGGGAGAAAACTGTTTAAAAGGGATATGTGATTAAGTATCTTTGTCATGACAGGAGTCCAGAGCGAAGGCTACATAGTTGAGTGGACCTGGGGGGAGGGATTGTAAAACAATGAATGAATTTTTCTTTTACTTTTTCAAGAGGGTAGTGTACTAGGAGGGAGGGCTGGGAGGGGAGAAAAGTGCAACAATGAATGAATGGAAATTAAAAAAAATAATCATATCCTCGGAAGATTTATAATTGTGAATAAAATATTTTAAGAGAAGCAAATCTATAACAACAGTTGTATATTTGGAGTTTTAGATATTTGAAGTTAATTGAATTCCAGATTGTGATTAGAATATAAATGTATAATTGATTGATTGGTTTAAACATAATTTTAAGTTAAAAGTTTATTGTTTATATACAGTATTGAAACATTTATGAGGATATAAAGCTCACCATATTTATACATTTGATTTATTAGATTAGAATTGTTTTCAACCTCAGCAAGATTTTTTTGTTATATCAGATCACTGAGGAACTTAAAAGGAAATCTAATGTGTTCAATTTTAAAATACAGTTCTAAAGTGTTTCATTAAGTTTGGAAATAAAACCATGTTCAAAGACCCTTAAAAGTGATTCCTAACTGAATGGTGCAACTGTTGTAAAATGGGACTGACATCAGGGTTGGGGGGAACCTCAGAAGGGAGGGGATAGATAGTGTATACTGCATTGAGGCAGATGAGGGAGAGAACTGTTTGAAGGGAATATACTATTGGGTATTATTTTCATGACAAGATTCCAGAAGAGGAAATGCATAGTAAAGTGGACTGTGGACTTGGGGTGGGGAGATGTTGTATAACAATGGAAGAATTTTTTTTTCTTTTCAGGGAGAAAATGAACTTGGGGGAGGGGTGGGCAGGGAGGAAAATGTGCAAAAATAAATTAATGGAAAAAAATTAAAAGGGAAGAATGTGCTGTAATTTTTTTTAAAAAGTGATTCCTAGAATTGCCTAGACTAATTTTCAAAGACTAGCAGGATCTGAAAACCTAACATTAGTTTTTAGAAGCCAAAGTCAGTCCCTGAATTGTCTTTTCTGGATAAGGAAACGGTCTTTCAGAGGAAAGTTTTTCTGTTGTTTTGTTTTGTTTGTTTGTTGTAAAGAATCTCTTGTCCATACCTCAGAGAAAGTGCAAAAGGGTGCTCTTTAGAGCCGAAGATGGTAAAACTCGCAGACTTTGAGCACATTGTCAGGAAGGACCAGTCCTTGCAAAAAGGTATCAGGCTGGGAAAGGAGGAGGATTAGAGAAAAGAGAAAGACCCTTAGCAGGATGGACTGACACAGTGACGCTAACAGACCAGAGCATATCGTACAGATGGGGCAGGATAGGGCAAGTCAGACCTGTTACTCACAGGGTTGCTTTGAATGGCAGTCGACTCAAGGGCACCTATCAACCACATGACAGTGTGGAGCGACTGGAGCTCTCATACACTCTTGGTGGGGAGAGAAAACGGGGCAAGCGCTTTGGAAAGCAGTTTGGCATTTCTTTACACAGATGAGAACAGAAATACCATTTGAGCCAGGGATCCTATTACGGGGTGTGAATAGAACCAAAAAAATATCTAAAGAAATTAAAGTGGCTGCGTGAACGGATATGCATACACTCATGATCATTGTGGCATTATTTATGACAGCAAAGACACATAAGCATTCCTAGTGTCTGTCAACAGACAAATGGATAAAGGGGCTACAATACATTCAAAACAATGGAGTAAAAAAAACAGTAAAGAATTTGTTAAATACTATGTAACATGGAAGCATCTAGAGGACATTATGATATATTATCATATAATATAATAAAGTATAAAAGTATAATATAATCTATAATTAAGAATAGAATAGAATTAATATAAAATAATAAAGTCAGTCACAAAAGGGCTATTATTCATGGCCAGCATAGTTCTCTATTATGGTGTAAAACTGTTATTAGGAAAAGTTAACAAAGTTTATATACATTCAGAATCATTTTTGAAGGGTTAATAGTTATGGGAAGGGAGGGAGAAGAGGGGGTAAAAATTAATAGATAAGTTGGGTAAAATCAAACATAAAATAAGAAGTTTATCAGGCAGTATAATTATATTCAACTCTCCTAATTAATTTTATTAATATATATATATGAATGGTCAAATTAATTGCAATCATTTGGGCATAATATTTTCAGGAGAAGCCATTCATTGGAGAGAGACATCAAGCTGGAAAAGGTCAGCAAAAGAGAGGAAGACCCTCTGTGAAATGGATTCACACAGACATGACCATAATGGCCTTGAGCAGATGAGAGATCGTGAGAATGTCCCAGGACAGGACAACGTTCAGAGCTGTTGTTCACAGGGTCCCTATGAGTTGTAGTTGACTTGACGGCATCTTACAACAATAACATAATGTTATAAATGAAAATGTGTATGAATGATCAAGTGAAAAACCGGTACCATTTGTAAACTTTTCACTCAAATGAATTTCTTAACAGTACAACCAGGAGAAAATAAAATTTGTGTTAAGTTCTGCTAGATGTAACTCGTTCCTACTCTTTCACAGTCTAATTTCTTACCAAAATATATTCCCTGAGGAGCTCCACCGAGGTGAATTTGGCTTGAGTCTCTGTTCCTGTTCGCACACACACTTGGAGCAGTCCGCTTAGCTACATGAAAGGAAGGAATAGCTACAATTAGATCCTTTCCTCTGACAGAGTCTGTGTTATCCAGCTCTGAGGGGTCTCTACATTTACAGATTTATGACTGAACAGTTGGAGGTTGGAGTCCACCCAAAGGCATCCATGAGGGAAGGCCTGGTGCTCTATTCCCCAAGGATCACAGCTCTTGAAAACCCAGTGAAGGGCAATTCTCCTCTCACATACCTGGGGTCCCTAGGACTCAGGGTGAATCTCCTTTCAAGGAGGAGCTAAAAGGGATCACCTCTATCCTGCCTCCACAGGAAACCCCATGAACTTAGAGCTATAGAATAGAGTTCAGGTCTTTTGTTCATAGGGTTGCTATGGTTTATGCTCAATTCACTGTACTTAACAACAACAACAACATATCCCAGCCAAGTTCCCAGAAGTAAAGCCACCTCCATCTCTCCATCGGGATGTTTTGCCTTTCAACACTTCCTTTGTATTTAAAAACAAATGGTAATTACATTTTTTCCCTGGCACTCCAGATGGTGAGAATCATTTCCCCCACAGCACCACTTGATCACAGCCTCTTCCTGTGTGCTGTGGGAAACTGCTGTCAAGTGAAATTCTCCTGAGAAGACAGTGAACTGGTGGGTGTCAGCCAATTGCTGCCACCTGGTGGGTCCTGCACCTCTGTGTCCTCCCTACAGGCCCCATGAGTGGCCAAGAAGCAGCTGAAAACTAGTCACCACAGATCTTCGGAGCCAAGAGATCAGAAAGCCACCAAGTCCATCTGCTCACCTTGGAAATGAGAAAATCAGGACTCCAACTGTGGATATAGCTTGCTAACATCACCGCCTCAGGCTGAGACCTCCCAGAACTGAGAGCTGAGTGTCAGGAGTTTATGAGGGCAGTATACTGGGCTGAATGATGGAAGTCCATGCCCAGATTTATGGAATCTGTGAGCAGAACCTTAGCTGGGAAAAGGTGTCTTTGCAAATTCAATGAAGGATTTCGTGATAAGATCATCGTGGATTACCCAAGTGGGCCTAAATTCAATGACAAGTGTCCTTAAAACAGAGAGAAGAAGAAACAGATGGGGAAAGAGGTGTAAAGGCCAGAGGCAGAGGATGGAAGGATGTACCTGCAACTTAAGCAATGCCAAAGGTGACTGTAGCCTCCAGAAGCTGGAAGACGCAAGGAAAATATGTTCCCTGACAAGCTTTGAAGTATTTTTCTTCCCTTTTCCAGCTTCTGTGACTACCTTTAACTTTTCTTGGCTTGCAGATACATCATTCCATTCTCCCCTGCAGACTTCAGAGGTTGCTCTGGTGGCCTAAAGGGTAAAGAATTATACTGCCAATCCAAAGGCAAGGGGTTTGAATCCCCCAGGTACTCTAGGGGAGAAAATTGTGTGATCTCTTCCCTTGTCATTTACAGCCTCTGAAAACCTGCTAAGAGGGTCAGCTATGAATCAGTTCCAACTCTGTGGCACGTAAAAACAACACAGGCTTCCACAGGGCACTGACAGCTCCTTGATTTCAGACTTCTAAAAAGATCTGCATTTGTTCCTATTACAAAGAAAGGTGATCCAACAGAGTGTGGAAATTATCGAACAATTTCATTAATATCTCATGCAAGCAAGATTCTGCTGAAGATTATCCAAAAATGACTGGAACAGCACATCAACAGAGAAGTGCCAGAAGTGCAGGCTGGGTTTAGAAGGGGTCATTGTACTTGGGACATTGTAGCTAATATTAGATGGATCTTGGCTGAAAGCAGGGAATACCAGAGAAATGTCTGCGTTTCATTGACTATGCAAAGGCATTGACTATATGGATCACAACAAACTGTGGCTGACTCTGAGAAGAATGGGAATCCCAGAACACTTGGTAGTGCTTATGTGAAACCTATACATGGAGCAGAAGGCAGTTGTCAGAACAGAGCAAGGAAACACTTTATGAATCAAAATTGCAAGGGTGTGCGCCAGGGATGTTTCCTATCTCCATACTTTTTCATCTATATGCAGAACAGATTATCTAGGAGGCTGGGCTGTACGAGGACAAGTGTGGCATCAGGATTAGAAGAAGATCCATCAACAATCTGCATTATGCAGATGACACAAATTTGCTTGTGGAAACTGAGGAGGACTTAAAGCGGTTGCTGCAGAAGGTCAAAGACTGCAGCCTTCAATATGGATTGAGGCTCAGTATCAGGAAAACAAAGATTTTCACCACTGGGCCAATTGGCAGTATCATGATAGATGGTGAAGAGATTGAGATTGTTAACAGCTTTAGTTTGCTTGGCTCCACAATCAACACTCTTGGCACCAGCAGCCAGGAAATTAAAAGACGTATTGTGATGGGAAAGTCTGCTGTTAGGAACCTCTCCAAAGTACTAGAGAGCAATGGTTTCACTCTGGAGACTAAGGTGCATCTGGTACAGGCCATGGTCTTTGCAATCACTTGCTATGTGTCAGAGAGCTGGACAATGACTAGGGATGATAAAAGTAGAATTGATACCTTTGAGATATGGTGTTGGAGAAGACTACTGAATATACCATAGACTTCTAAGAGAACAAACAGGTTCATCCTGGAGAGGGCTAAACCAAGCTGCTCCTTGGAGGCAAGGATTCTGAAGCTTCATCTGACATAATTTGGACATGTTGCAAGGAGGGACCAGTCCTTGGAAAGGGATGTCATGCTTGGAAGTGTGGAGGGACAGTGCAGGAGAGGAAGACACTCTATGAAATGGATTGATTGAGTGACTGGGGTATAGGAGGTGGTGTGTCAGAGACAGTGAGATTGGCACAGATAGAGCATGGATTACGGCTGTTGTAAATAGGGTCGCTATGAGACATAGGTGATTTGACGGCACATAAGAACAACAACCAACAACAACAACCCACAGAACTCTAAAAGAATACATATATGTTGTTTTGTGCCACTAAGTTAATGATAAATTGTTACAGCAGCCCTAACAGTGAATTCAGGATACACAAAATACAAGTTGTTGTTGTTGTTGTTGATAACTCATAATGACCCTATGAACAAAAGGCCGGAAGGCCCTCTGAAGCCATCGACATTTATAAAAGTTCATAGGGTTTCTGGAGGTATGTAGTTTAGGAGTGGATGCCATTCCTGCTTCCAAACCTGTCACAGTATGTTACTGTTGTTATGTGCCATATGTACACCAGCTCTGAACCCTTCCCTTGGGTTCCCAACACTGTGTGTGTGAAGATGCCACTCAGTTCAAAAGCCAGACAAGCAATGTCCATAAAGTTCACGTAAAGGTCAAGAGAAGTCAGGCAGCCAATACCAGGTACCTCTGAGAAACTGTATGGAATACACCTCACTGTTCCCCTGTGTATGAGACTTGGGGCACAGGTATCCACTAACTTCCTCCAGTGTTTGCTGAGGCTACTCCTGAGTAAAACTCCCTATACCCCCAGCTTGCCCTGGTTATGGATTGAGCACTCTCTGTCAATTGGGCTCCTCTGGAATGGTGAGTGCTCTGGAAATAGAGCAATGCATCAGCAGCATCTGCCTCAGTTGTATAGTGAGCGAGAAGCAGGACTTGTCATTCGTAACAGACATTCACTGAGCTGGGCCAGGGACTATAGGAAGGGCTGGTTCCCGTAAATGAGCACAACAGCCAAGGTTTCTGCCCTCAGAGTTCACATTGCACTAGGCTAGCAGGACAATGCACAGTAAAGTACAAACTAGGCAATTTCAGGGAATGATAAAAAAAGAAAATAAAACAGAATAGTTATTTGAGAAAGGAGTTATTTTGTCAGATAATTACGTCCTAGTATTGTATCTTGGTGGAGCTCTGGTGTCCTCATGTCAAGAAGCTACACTGCAATCCCGAAGGAACGCAGTTCAAACCCACCAGCTGCTCCACGGGAGAAGGATGGACAATCTCCTTCCATGCAATTAACTGCCTCTGAAAACTCGCCAGAGGGTCAGTTATGGGTTGCTTCCAACTCTGTGGTAAACAACAACAACAACAACAACAACAACAATGTGTGTTGAAACCCTAATCCCTGAGCAGAGTATGTAAACTTCTTATTCATAACTAAACATCTTGATGAAATGAGTTGTTGGTTCTAGAGCCTCAAGAATGTACCCTCAAGGGACACATCACAACATAGTCTACAAAGACAGTGTTCTACATTCTACACTTCGGTGAAGCTGACTCAAAAGCTTGCAAGCTGTCATCCAAAGTACAACTACTGGTCTCCTCATGGCTTAGGAGGGGTTTTCTACAAAAATAAAATCAATTAAGTGTGTGCATGCACGTATGTATGCAAGTAATTACATAACTATGTAATATATACATACATATGTACATGTGCATTAGGGAGCTCTATTGGCCTAGTGGTAAGAAGCTGTACTGAAATCCCAAAGACATTTGGTTCAAATCTACCAGACGCTCTGTGGGAGAAGGATGGGTGGGCAAACTCCTCTCATGCAATTTACTCCCTCTGTGAGACTACTAGAGACTCAGCTATAGGGCAATGGGTTGGATCCAACTTAATGGCAAACAAGAAGATGATAGATAGATAGATAGATAGATAGATAGATAGATAGATAGATAGAGATAGATCAAAGGCAGGTGGTTTCAACCCACCAGCTATTCAATGGGAGAAAGATGAGGAAACGCCTCCCTGCAATTTACAGTCTCTGAAAATCTACTGGAGGTTCAGGTATGAATTAGTCAACACTTGATGGCAAATAGTGTGCACAAGCGTCTGCGTGTGTGTGTGTGTGTGTATGAGTCAGCTACGAGTCAGATCCAATTCTACAACACACGCCAAAAATATATACATACACTCACACACATATATGTTATTATGGGCCATCAAATTGGAACTGATTCACAGCTATCCTTCAAGTAGGTTTTCAGAGACAGTACATTCCATGAGAGGAGACTGGCTATCTTTCTCCCACAGAAAAACTGGTCGATTTGAACCCTGTGCCTTTGGATTGGCAGCAGGGACTCCTTACCACTAAGGCCCCAGAGCT